AGCTCTAAGCTGGTGGGGAAGGGGGTTGTGGATGGGGTCTGCGCCTCACCTGGCTGGCCTCAGTGGGGCAGAGTCCATGGGGACAGGGCCGCTCGGAGATCCCAGCGTTCTCCGCGAGGCTGTGGTGAATCCTCTTGCCTTTCGTATCCGGCTGGGCTGGCTCCAGACCATTCGATGCTATTCCATTGTCATTGGCAGGACTGGGCTTGGTGAAGCTGGGCCCGGCGTGTCCCAGCGTGTCCCAGCCTCTCCCCGTCCCCGTTGTCTTTCTACAGGACCCGGAGCTCATGTGTTTGTCTCTTGGGATGTTGAGTCTACCCAGCCCTTCAGGGATCGGGGCTGCTGGCCCCAGTGTAGAGATGTTGTTATCTGTATTACTTACAGGCCCCAGGCTGGTAGGGTCCCTCCCCTCCTCTGACCAGATATGCCCAGCCCCCTCCTTTTTCTCTCTTGGCTTCTGCCCTGTTCTTTCTGTGATTGGCCCAAGAGAGGGGTGTGGGCCGGCAAGTACTCTACACAGAGCCGGGAGGCAGCATCCAGGGCTGGTTGGGCCACCCCAGGGCCTCCTGCCCACTGCCCCCCAGCCAAGCTGGGTCCTCTGCTTCCTGCCCAGCTGGGGCAGGCCTGGAAGGGCACAGTGGCAGGCCCTCTGTGAAGCTCCTGTTGCCATGGTGATTCTAGATGAAAAGACCATAGCATTCTGTCCCCGGAACCTCCCCCCATCTTCCCAGCTCTGCTTTGTCTGCCTCCGGAGATGGCTCTCCGCTGGTGGCCTCGAGAGCTATGGCTCTGCTGCGGTCAGCGTCTCTTCTGTGCGTCTCCTAACCCCCTGGACCTCCCTTTAACCCCAACAGAGACCACTACCCTAAGAGTAAGCCTCTGGCCCCACCCCCACCCCCGAAACTGACATCCACTAGAGAGGTGATGGCGGGTCATGAAAAAGCCACAGGATTCAAAATGAAAAGACCCAGATTTCAGCCCCAGCCAAGCCTTTAATAGCTGTGTGGCCCTGGACACAATAGGCCTTGAGCTTCAGGGTCCTCCTCTGTAAAATGCAGATAATAATACCCTACCGAACTGTCCCTCAGAAATGCCTCCGTGACTTTGCATGGACTTTCCCTTATATGTAATACCCCTCCGTCCTTCTCAGCTCCGGCGAACTCCTACCCGTGCCTCAGGACCCGGCTGAAATGATCCCTTCCGTGTTAACAGTTTCCCTGACCTCTGTGTCCCTGACACAGATACGAGGACTTGCCATTTTGTGTTAAAGTTATTGAAGAGTTTCCTTCGTTTTTATTTGACTACGAATTTTTGGACGCAGGAGGAATCGGATGAGGCTTACTTCCGGCATCAGAAATGGTTTGTTGGAGGACTACTTTGTGGAACAGAAAACAGAACAGGATGACCCTGACTGGGGTGGACTCCATCCTTGCAGGGGTCAATCCTGGGGCCCTTTGTCGAAGCACAGCGTGGGTCGATCAGTGCTTGCTGTAGCCTCTCTGTGTGCCTGAGATGCAGGCTTGGGGACATTTTCATGGCTGGGAGCCACTGGAAAAGACCCCGACTTATGCCTAGGGTCTACCTGTCTTAGCACTAGGCTGGGGCCAGGAGCAGCTTCTCACCGGGTGTGTCTGTGGATATCCTGGGGCATCTGGGAGGGGAAGGAGGGGGGGGGCACAGCACCGTCCGCTGGTCCTGGTAGGACTTTTGGGATATCGGCAAGGAACCTGAAGTTCAGGGGAGAGAGAGAGCTCCGGTTGCCACGGTGTCTTCCGACTCTCTTTCATGGCTCTACAGCTGCTGGTCAGGGTGAGGAGAAGAAGGAGCCTCCAGGGCCAGCTCCAGGGTCCCTACAGACCGCTCATCAGCCAACAGGGCTTCCGTGGCCGGAGCCAGCGAGTCAGGGGCGCCCTCCAGTGGTCATTATAGGGGAGGCAGGAACCTGAGCGCGCAAAAAGGGAGGTGTTTCATTCACTCCTTCAGCTAACGTTAAGTGAGCATGCCCGCGCCAGACGGGTGCTAGGCACATGTTTCAGTTCTAACTAAAAATATATTGAGCATCTGCTAAGTGGAGAGCTCTCCCTGGAGTGTAGATATTTCTGGGTGGGGGGAGACGGAATGCAAGGTAGGGAATTAACCCTTCCAGCAGTGATTCTCAACCCACGTTGTCCATTGGCCTTGCCTGAGGAACTTGAGAAAACGTGAGGGTCTGGGGCCCGTCCACCCAACCGAATCTGCAGGGGTGGGGGCGGACGCACCAGGGGCCGGCAGCCGGGCACGAGAACCAGTGGTTTGACTGAATCATCACCCATCGTTCTCATCGCTGAGGTAGTGCTATTGTCCCATTTTCCAGATGAGGACGCTGAGGCTCAAGGGAAGGACAGCGATGGGAAAGATGTTTCCCACTGCACAGGCAGCATGTAGCAAATCGTCCTCGAAGAGGACCTCCCCCCCCCTCCTAACTTCAATGGCCTTGTTGTTTGCTGTGATTAGAAAAATACGCAAGGTGGTTGTGAAACGGTAAGTTTTCCCCGTAGGCGGGGAATTACAAAGGCGAAAGTGGTGCGCACAAAAGTCACCTGCAATCTCAGCATTGTGAACACTTAGGAGTATGTCAGAGAGAGGGAAAGAGAGACGAGGGAGAAAGGGATGGAGGGAGGAGAGGGGGGAGGGAGGGAAGGCGTGGATTGATTTTAAGGCTCGAGGTCATTTTGTAAATCAGGGCTTTGATCTTCAGAGGTGGGCCAGCAGCGCTCGCTAGAAATGCAGCCCGCCCCTCCCCCACGACCCCCAACCCGGTCGCAGAATCGGACTCTGGAGCAAGATCCCGAGAATCTGCATGTTTCGTATACATTCCAGACCCTTCCTATGGCCACTCGCTGAAGACCAGAAGCCCCTGGGGCTTCCAGCTTTCACAAGAGGAGCCTGTCCTGGACAGCCATCACTTCCAGGGGCTTAGGGCCCTTGCGTATAGACTGATGTATTAAACTGTTTGGAAGCAGGTGCTGAGACGTTAACCAGCTGCCCTTGGGGACCTGGGTACATACCCCCATTTTGCGTGGGCTGGCTAAAAGCCAGCAACAAAAACACCGAGGCTGCTGCGTCATCCTTCACCAGGCCCAGCCCCCACACAGCAGCCTCCTTCCTACCCCCGCCTTCTTCCGTAGCTATGAACCAACCCACTAACTGGATTCTGCCAGCCAATCACAGCCCGAAAAACCTATGATGTCACCATCAGCCAATCAGAGCTCCTCACCAGCATAGGAAGACCAATGTCACTCTTAAAAAGGTGATGAGGCCTAAAGCGAGGCCATCCTTTTTGGATAGGGACACTGAGGCCTAGGGAGACTCAGAGGCCCACTGGGGTCAGCCACACGGGTGGCAGAGCCAGGACTGGAAGCCAGGACTTCTGACCATGGTCCAGTGTTCTTTCCACTGCCCTCCGTGCTGCCCAAACCCCGAAGGGCCTGGGCCGGGGCTCCCTCTCTCGTGTAGCTCTTGGCACCGGAGATGAGGACCAGGGCCCCGGCCCCACTCCCCACAGCTCTCCCTGCAAGACCTCAGCCGTCAGAAACAGATCCTTCAGTCTCTGGATTTGAGGGGCCAGAGAAAATGGCGGGATTGGGCCCATGGTGGAAGGGAGTTGCCCCAAATTCTAGCCCTGGTCTCAGCCCCCACAGCCCCCAGGAAGGAATTAGAGGGGCCCTGGCCAGGCTGTGCCGGCTGCTAATGTGCAGATTATGAGGAGGGGCCAAAACAAGGGCTCCTTTGTGGAGGCCCTGGATTAGGCAGTCAAGTGACCGCCTAACACACGCATGGGCAGGGCTGGTCCTGAAGCGTGGGCAGGGTCACTGGCTGCAGGACCCTCAAGAGTCCCATCGGTCCAGTGGCCAGAAATGTCGTGGGATTCCCTGAGAGGACTGGAGCTCCTCCTGTGAGTAGCGGTTGGCCCAGGCAGGGGGGGCCGGGGCTTTGAGGGCCCCTGGGGTAGATGGCTGTCCTTGCAACAGTGCGGGTGATGCGGACACATGGGCAGCACGTGTGCGCGTGGGGGGGGGGGGG